AAGCTTACAGTTCAGTGATTTTCAGTACATTCACAGAGCCAGGCATCCATTCACCGAAATCATAGGACACTCTCATTACCCCAAAGGAAACCCTGCAGCGCTACCCATTTCCTCCTAACTTCCCTATTACCCCTTCCCCTGCCCCATATTAGGCAACCACTGATCTACCTTTTGTCTCTCTGGATGTTTCATATGGGTGAAATCACACAGTATGTAGTCCTTTGTGATTGACTTCTTTTTTTTTCTTTTGGAGGTACTGGGGTTGAACTCAGTGCCTCACACTTGCTAGGCAGGTGCTCTATCATGTGAGCTATTCCACACCCCACATACAGTGTACTTTGAACAAGTTCATCCCCTACATAATATTTCCTTAACGTCCCTTTCTCCCTCCCGTCCCCAAAATGATTACTTTAAAAAATCACCATTGAGAAACTTTTCACCACATAATGGTAAAAATACAAGTTGATGCATCTTTATAAAAAAGAAAAAGAAAGAAAAAAAATATATAGCAGATGACGAAAACTTGGAAAATCATGACTGAGCATACCTATATATCCCACTACAAAGCTCATAGTGCTTTGCAATTGTCTAGAGGTTTCAAAATGTTTGTGCATGTCAAAGCTGATACATATATATATATGTATATATATAAAAGAAACTTTCATAAGTTCTTATCAAGTAATGAGACCCAATGGTCATCTCATCAGGACATACAAAGTACTGCATGTTCTTTCCTTCATTCAATCTCCCATGAGCTCAGAATATACTAACACTAGATACAGGAGCAAAAAAGTCATTAAAATGCTCACTATGTAGCCATAAGGCTAACTCCTTAAGGAGGTCTGTTTCAAGATCTAAAATTTATGACATTCAACTGCAAATGGAGAAAGAGAAGTCTATCATGAGCTGGGCACACCTGTAATCCTAGCTACTCAGGAGGCAGAGATCAGGAGGTTAGTGGTTCGAAGCCAGCCTTGGCAAATAGTGCTGGAGATCCTATCTTGAAAAATATCCAACCAATAAAGGGCTGGCAGTGTGGCTCAAGTAGAAGAGCACCTGCCTAGCGAGCGTGAGGCTCTGAGTTCAAACCCCAGTACCACCAAAAAACTTTTTAATAAAGTCCATTATGCAATATTGGGTGCAGGGCATGTGACTGCAGGGAATAGTTGAAGGGTTAGAAAGAGAAATTCAATTAGCAGACTATCTACTCAGGGAACATCTTCTCTGGTGTTTGGATAGCTCCAAATAGTGGCAGCTGGATGCAGGTTTTCCCTGTTTGAATAGTGTACAGATTTCATGGGTAAAAAATAGCTGGCAACTCCCTTTCTTTAGAAAGACCCAGAGAAAAGGTATGGCTGTATGGATAGATACTGTCATTACTGAGTATGTGACTATGACTTAGATGCTCCTGCTGGTAAGTTAATGGGAGGACACACTCTAGCTCACGGGACACCACACAGGGATTTTCAGTAATGGTTGCAGACAGCTCACTTACAGGTGAGTTTACTTGACCCTTTAGTGACACTGAAACAATTTAAAAATCTGCAGATTTAGCACAGAAATATGGACTTCTAGATTCCCTTGAAAAACAAGGTAAGTTGGTAATATAGTCAATATAAATGGCTTAGGGTCAAGTAGTGACACCTTTTCAGAAGGAGCATGAATTCCATATTTACTCTCCAGAGGCCAGCTTCCCCATCAGATTATAATTCTGGCCTCCACAGATAACTGGAGTTTGCAACCGTTGATAAAGCTACAGTGCAAAGCAAAACTAGAAAGATGGCTTTCACCTTCTGCAAATGTCTGCTTCCCATACTTCTCCTTCTCCCCATCTGCTGTCCCACTGGGCTTTTCTTCAAAGACAGGAATTCCTGGGCCAGCCACATATTTCCTACTAGAATGGTCAGCCCCCTCCCTTGCCCCAAGGTAAGATCCTGGACTACCCTAACCTTTCTGCTGTCATCAAACTTCCCGGCTTTAGCCCATTCTTTCCCAGTTCTGTTTTCTTGGATTGTGTTGTTTTGGCCAGGGGACTTGTAGCAATCTGATACCCTAATCAGTGGAAATGAGCTATGTTACCTTCCCAGCAAACATACTTGAAATGAATCCAAACTTTCTAAACGCACACCAGCATCCACCCCAGGAAACTTACTTGCTTGGAGTCAGCTGTCCACCAGGCTTCTAACTCTTTGTATTGGCTCATAATAACTGAAACTTACTCACCTAATACAGAGTAAGAAAACCAGAATGGGTCTGGGACATTTTCTGAGGCAATGGCCAGTTCAGATCTATTCAAATATTTCTGCACATTTAATTCACAGAAACCCTATGAATCACAGTTGCTATGACCAGCGCATAGAGCAGAGCTGCAGACATAGGTTTCTGTCCATCAGATAGTTCAGGGTCATGGCTAGAACTTCCTTTGCAGACAACAAGAAAGACTCAGAGGAGACCTTATATGTATATGACTACTTATTAAAGCCAAAGGATATTTTTTGTACCCTCTTAAACAACATTCACTAAATTACAAAGATGCATGGAGATTATTTTTCACTTCTTCAAGCCTCCTAAAGAAAAGAATACCAACAACTATTACCTGATGGTGTTCTCGGTATATCCAAGGTGAACAGTGCCCCAAAGTGAGTTTTCAGCATTGAGATAATACGTGAACTACAAATTGTACATTGTGTTCATGAATCAGAAAGGACAGTCTCCCTGATGAGTCACAGCTGAGAATAGGTCTCGGTAGGGCCTTGGGTGCAGGTGGAAAACCATTCTACTATGCTATTAGCCTTCCTAAAACCACACACACAAACCCCACATGCACCTCACAGTACAGGTGATCTTCCAACAGCCTCTGCTCTGGGCTAATTCCTGGCCGCACCCACTGATGGTAATGTCCCTTCTGGTTCTAAACAGCTAAGGGATACAACTGGGCAAGCCCAGACAGAGTAGAACACAAATGAAGCCACATTTGGCTTGATGTATTCTTACATAAACATTGAATATTATAACTGGGGTTCCTAATTACTTAAGATGTTGATACTCTGTTCAAAGACAACTTCTCATACTTAATGAACAGACTTAAATTTTCAAATCAGGGAAGAAACAATCCACTTAATTTTGGCCAAATTACTCTGGATCCGGGAAACCCAACAATGGCACTTCTCCTATTTCAGGACGGCCAGCTGTTTCAACTTTTCTGTCAGCGAATTGTGACCTCAACCGTATCTGATGCACAGATAGTCTCCTGGCGGCGCAGGACATGCCCATCTGTGCTGATGGCATACAGCCAATCAATAGGTAAGTCACACCCAGTCCTCTGATAAATCATCTCTGGAGAGGAGTCTGCCTTCAGACATACCTCCATTTGCCCAACTATCTACTTCAACAACTACGAGCCAAACTGAGCATGGATTTCCTCCAGGTCTCCAAAAGAGAGCACCCTGGACTACTCCTTGGTCTGTCCAGAAAGAAAAATGAGTTTAATGATGAGAAAAGGTGAACCCTCAAGGTACCACGGAAGTAGTCAAATTCAGTGAGATTCTTTAAGCTCTTGACATAAACACATTGATTTTTTTTTTTTTTTTAGAAATATTGAACCATGGAAAATAATTACAGCATTTAAAAAGTACTGAGACTATCACTCAGCTGCTTAAGTTTCGGTGGCCAGATGCTCAATTAAGTAGCTCCACCAAATGTACACTCAGAGGAAATGATTTTCTGTAGGGGTTCCAAAAATACTGTGGGATGGGCTGAATTCTTTAACCTTAAACCCAAGGAGGAAGTTTAATTATAGATAAAGTTGTCTTTTGGGGCAAAGGTGACAGGATTTTGGACTATGTTAAAAGTAAAAGTTTTGGTCAAGGATGGCTTTTAAGGGTTTTGTTTTTAGTCATTCATCTGAATGAATAGCATGAGGTCAAGGACTACAGTTTAGCTCTGTCTGTGGCTTTTTCAGGCTGGTCATGCAGGATATAGATTTTTAAATGAGTGTTGGGCGAGGTGTCAGTTTGACTTAGCTTCACCCTGGATGGTCATTCCACAACAACAAATCAGAAGGCCATGTTCATCCACCTAAGCAGGATTATTCCCAAAGAACCAAGTATGGAAACTGGTAAAACTTTTTCTTTTCTATTTTTCTGCTGGACTGCCTTCCGATCTCTTGAATAGAGTCCTTGCTTTTGTGCCTCGGAAGGAAATCTACACCCTACCGAAGCCCAAGGGATGTGGCTAAGGTTATTGCGAGGGAGAGAGGAGGTAGCGAAAAGTCACCAACGGGTTAGAGAGAGAGAACAGCCAATGGCATACATTTCCAAAGGAAAAGGAACAAGTCTTGAGGACTTCCTGCGTGCAGTCCTGAGAGTCCCGGTCACCTGGCACTAGGGAGGTGACCCACCTGGCCCTTGGGACGGGTGGGGCCCTCCGGGGCGGTGCTCGGCCTGCGTGCCCCGCGGGTCCAGGCCGGGTGGCTCCAGCCGGCACTAGGTCCCCGCCAGGTGCTCGCCTCACCTGGGTCCCTGCCTGCCTTTGTGCGGGGCGCAGCTCCTTGGCCAGGGCCCCGGGGCGGGGGCTCGCGATGCCAGGCGGACAGCTGCGAGCGCTGCACAGGGCCAGGGACCCGTGCGGGGCCGGGGAGGGGCTCTCCCACCTTCCCAGCAGCAGGAGGAAAGGGACCCCACCTCCAACGGCTGTACCTCTGGAAACAGATGCGCCCACACTCTGACTTCCGACAGCTGGCAGCCATAGGAACTCAGCCACAAAAGTTTGGCGACTGCGAAAGTGACTTGCAAGAAAACTTTTCCTCGCCCCCTCGATCCCTCTCCCCCAAGACCCGGGTGGCCGAAAGCAAGGAAATCGGAGCTCGCGACGTGCAGACTCCCGCGTCCACCTTCTCCACCCTGGCCCGGGCAGTGTGCCCAAGGTGGGTGCCCCGCGCCGGGCTTCGCGGCCCCCGGTCCCAGGGTCAGGCGTCCTGGGACACAGTGCGGCCAACTCACCATGGTGACTCGCGCCGCGATCGCGCCTCCGCCGGGTCCCGCTGCCTGGGAGCTGGCGCTGGAACGCAGTCTTCTGGGTGAACTTCAAAAGTTGGTTCCCCTCGCCAAACACAGGCTCCCGACACCCAAGCACTCACAGGAGCCAATGGGAACCCAGGGGGCACTCCATCCAGGCGGGATCCGCCACGCTTAGGTGAGGGCGACACCGGGGCGACTTTAGCAGGCGGGGTGCATGCTGCAGAGAGGGCGGGGTCCACTCGGATCGGACGATTACCGATCGCGCAGAGGAGTCCCGGGCGCGCGGCGCGTCTGCCTGCCCAAGTCCCCTGTCTCGCTCCTCTTTCTTCAGCCACTTAATCCGTACTCCTCTCTGGCTCAGCCTCGGCTCGGGCCGGGCAATCTGTCCATAAATGGAGAATTCAGGGCAGGCCTGGCCAATCAGGTTTTGTTTTCGTAGCGCCACTCCTCAGGGAAACCGTGCTAGCCAACAAGCTTGGAGCTGCTGGAGTTTCCAAAGACCTCTGGATGCTGTAGTCCTGTTGCCTCGCCAGCCCGCAAAGCGCCCTGCAGCTAGACCTCAACCGGAGCAAGAAACGCGCGTCAGAGACAAGCACACCAACTCTCATCTTGCCATTTTTTTTTTTAAACGTGAAAGCCAGACTAGATTTAGCTTCCAAGTTGAAGTCGCATGATTTTCCTAGTTTTTTTTTTTAAATAAGGAAATATTTTATCAGCATAAAAGATCAGAGTCGTGGCAGCAATCCAAAGGAAATCCTTTTTCTTTCCTACGTCTGGATTGTGAGGAAAGTAAAAAATGTCATTTCCTCCCTTCTCTCCCTTTACCTGGATTTCCTTGGAAAACAATGGAAGCCTTTTTTTTTTTTTTTTTTTTTTATGGCGAAGGTGCACTTGTACTGAGCAAGGAACAGGGTAGAAACAGGTGGGAAGAAGCCACGTCCAGCTTCCAGCAACAGCACCTGTGGAAAACAATCAGAAGAGTAAACAGGAAGGGCAGTGGCCCTTCTGTAATCCTAGCTAGGAGGCAGAGAGCAGGAGGATCGCAGTTCGAGGCCAAAAGTGATTCCCACAAAAGCAAGACCCTATCTTAAAAATATCCAACACAAAAAAGGACTGGCGGAGTGGCTCAAGGGGTAGAGCGCCTGCAGCATGATGCCCTGAGATCAAATCCCAATACCGGAAAAAAAAAATTGCCAACAGGGCTGTGAAGGCTCATTGTTGCAAAGTGTGCACTTTCAGGAAATCAGAAGGGAAAGCTATTGCTTAGGGGGCACCAGCTCTGTGGTGGGTCACACACGGAGCTGTCCTAGAAGCGGCGGCAGGTGAGATCTGAAAATCTTAAGAGCACAATCATCATGCGTTAGACGCAGAAGGACTTACTAGGATCGGCTTTATGAAATTTAGTGGTGCCCAGCCCTTGACTCGAATCTGGGATCATTGTTGGGAAGGATGTTCAAATCGTGTTGCCTAGAAAGTGAAAAAAAATGTGGTACAGCCATAGAACCACAAAAACGAAGTGCTGATACCTGCTACAGCAGAGGAACCTTGAAAACTGTGCTAAGTGAGAGAGGCCACGCACCAAAGTTCATATGGGATGATTCCACTCATATGAAAGTCAAGCATGGTAGAACACTCTGGCAGGAGGCCAAGAGTGCAAACCCCAGCACAAAAAAAAAAAAAAGGAGGCAAGAACGGCAAATCTCTAGAGACAGAGAGTAGATTAAAGGTTTGCCAGGGACTCGGAGGAGGCAGGGTGGAAGTAATTGCTAATGAAAATGCATTTTTTATTGAGTAATGAAAATATTATGGAATTAGACAGTGGTGATGGCTGTAGAACTTTGTGAGTGTGCTAAAAAATGCAAAACAAACAAAAAAACCCACTGATGTGTATATTTAAAAGTGGGACTCTTGCACTAGTGGAGTGTATGGAGCCCCTGCCTAGCAAGTGTGAGGCCCTGAATTCAAACCCCAGTACTGCCAAAAGAAAAAAAAAAAAAGATAAAACAGGGAATCTTATGGTATATGAATTATATCTCATTTTTTTTAATTGAAAGAAAACCATTATCTCAATTCTTTTTTTTGGTAACAGCGTGGTTTGAACTCAAGGCTTCCACTTGCTAGGCAGGTGCTCTTACCACTTGAGCGACTTCACCAGCCCTTTTTTTGGGGATTTTTTTTTTTTTTTTTTTTGCGATAGCATCTTGAGAACTACTTGCCCAGGCTAGCTTTGAAACTTTATCTTCCTGATCTCTGCCTCCCGAGTAGCTGCTAGGATTACAGGTGTGAACCACCAGCGCCCAACTTTTTTTTTTTTTCCTGGTGGGACTGGGGTTTGAACTCAAGGCTTTACACTTGCAAAGCAGGCACTCTACTGATTGAACCATACTTCCAGTCCGTTTTTCTCTGGTTGTTTTGGAGATGGGGTTTCATGAGCTTTTTGCCTGGGTTGGTCTCAAACCACAATCCTCCCAATCTCAGCCTCCCAAGAAGCTAGGATTACAGATGTGAGCCACCAGTGCCTTGCTTTGTTCCACTTCTTGTAGTAATCGCTCACACAGTTAAGAAAACAAATACAATAGACTGTCCACCTTAGGACCTAGGCTAGACACCAGAAATACAATTGGTTCTTCCCTGACTGAGTATGATTTTAGAACTCGGAAGGTAGATGATAAATTAAAAAACAAAAGCTGGACACAGTGGTGGGTGCCTGTAGTCCCAGCTTCAGGGGACGCTGAGCCAGGAGGATTGCTTGAGTTCAGAGGTTCGAGGTCAGTCTAGGCAACATAGTGAGACCCTGTCTCAATAATAATAATAATTAATAAAATAGGAAAGCAACAAATACAATGGGAAGTGACAGCTGTGTATGTAAGGAACTGACATTTGGAGCTGGAGGTCGCGTTAGAGGACCCATCAGTGGCAGGTGAAGTGGGAAGGAGACAGCTGGCATCTGTTGAACATGACTGTGTCCTAGGCGGCTCCTTAGAGCTCAGGTGAGGCTGCTTCTTACAGGGGCATGTCAGCTTCAAAGTACTTTCAGGTATTTCAGGATGAACGAACAGAGGTTACCAACAGGGAAACTGGAGCTTACTAGTGACACAAGAACCACTACTTTGGTTGGAAATGACACATCCCCTAAGCCACCATCCCACCCATACTCAACCCTGATTAGTAACTCGATTGACATAGACCTCCAGATAAAGAGGGGGGAAAAAAAGATAAGCAGCAAAAGACAAAGTCATTACTTTAATCCAAAGATAAAATTAAACACTGAAAATCTCTCTTTCTTTCTCTCTTCCTCTCTCCCTCTCTCCTTCCCCCTCCTCCACTTTTCTCCCTCTTCCTCTCCCTTTCTCTCTCTCTTCTATAATCCTAGCTACAGGATAGGATTACAGGCGGCTGAGATAGGGAAGATCCAGGTTTGAGGACAGACCAGGCAAATAGTTAGAGAAATCCCCATCTTCAAAATAACCAGAGTAAAATAAACTGGAGGTGTGGCTCAAGTGGCAGAGCACCTGCTTTGTAAATACAAAGCCCTGAGTTCAAATTTCAGCCCCATTGCCCCCCCAAAAAGGGGAGGATTTATGTGAGTATAAAATGAAATGTGTGTAGAGGCAGTCAACAAACATTCCTTTGTTCCCTCTCCTTAGCATATGTTTATGTTCTAGGTTGGGACTTCAGAGCCAGGATCCTGGGTGAGATGAGATGCATGACCCCCTGAATTGCACGCCAAGTAGCCAGAGCTGTTGTGTGGCCCCTTTGCTGGAGGAAAGTTAGGAGCTTTCATGAAATTCTCAAAGATGCCCTACCAGCCAAAATGCTAGGAACCCGATCTCTTATCACGTTCATTGTACTTCTCTGGGTCTTTGTCTCTAGCACTGTGTTTTTCTTGAGGCTAAGAGATTAGAGCTGAGTCTAGTGCTTTAAGACCAGAAGCTCAGTCAGCTTGGATTCTCAAAACACAATCCATTAATCCACTGTTTTTGTATAGATATAGCATATGGTCACATGATGCAGTCTGTCATTTTATGAAGAATCCCTGGCAGTTTTGGCTAGGTGGCCCTAAGTCCTGGTCTAGCTGGAAGAGTCCTAGGTTGTGCCTTTTTCTCACTGACCTCTTTTTTTTTTTTTTTTGGCTGGTATTGGGGTTTGAACTCAGCGTCTCACACTTGCTAGGCAAGGCACTCTACCACTTGAGCTACTCCACCAGTATTTTTGAGAAGCTTTCAGTGAACTCATTAATTGTACCAGTCATTCCCCGACAATCTTAGGTTTGTTTTGTTTTGTTTTGATTTTTGCTGGTACTAGGGTTTGAACTCAGGACCTCAAGCTTGCACTTGTGTCACTTCACCAGCCCAAAAGTCCTAGTTTGAATGCTAAGTTGTATGGTTACCCAGTATTTTTGCCCAAATTATATTTTTTAAATCCTCACCTTTTAAAATGAGTATTTTTTTTCCAAATTCCTTGATTTGTATATATTTTCCAGAGGAGGCAGAATATGGTCTGGATTTGTCTGTGAGCCTGTGATCAGGAGTGAGGGATCCCACCCAGGGCACTCTGGCACTGAGCTGCAGCCTCACACAAGTATTCGGAATTCAAGGTCGTAGTGGCTACAAGAGAAGCAACTTCATGACATGTAAAACTTGTTCTAGACACACGATGGAGCTATGCAAATGAGATTTTGCACCCTGGCATGACGAACTGGTTGTTATCTGGGGCTGAATGAAAAAGAGCAAAGAAAGGAATCAAGATAAACACAAATACGACTTTTCAAATCAATCTGGTGATGAATAAAACACCGTATACGTTTTCAAAAAGAAACAGCAAGAAAATAATCAAGCAGTAACACTAGTTTCCAGATCAATACCATAGAACACTCTAAGTGCATAAACAAATTAAAAAATTGTTAGTGGGAAAATTAGGCCAGAAACTCTTAATGAGACGCTAATGAATCAGCGACTTGTGTCACCTCAATAGGAAATGTCCTGTACAATCCCTGTCTCTGCAATAGGGGCATCAATGACTGAGTTTACTAGGCATCAGCTAAGAGTTAAGTATGTGTATTTAAATTAACTCCCATGCATAGCTGCCGGCTGTGTTTGGCACTGAAGAAACTACACTGAGTGAGCATCCAGTAACTGACCTGAGCTGTGGTTCAGCTACCTTGTGTCAAATCCATACACCTACCTGATTCTGAAACCCAAATTCACTCTTCAGGCATGGATTCTTTTGACAGAAATGTCCCTCAGAAGAAACCTTGCATGGGTAGGGGTGTGGTTCAGCAGTAGAGGGCTTGCCTAGCCTGTGAAAAGCCCGGGGTTCGTTTCCCAGAACCATCAAAACAAAACAA